GAATGAACTTACTACGCACGCCCTACGCCCTAAATCTTCCCATCTCCTGTCATTTATGAACCTAACTTTGATAATATCTCAAGAATTCTAGGAAAAATTGTTATAATATTCTGTTTTATCATTGATTAAAAAATTATTATAAATTTTTATATAATAAAAAATTTGTATTTATGCATCATATCTTGTGACTTTTATCGCTAGAATTTTTTATCGCATCGGAATATCTCGTACTCCTTGAATACCTTGAAAGAGAGCTGAAACCCTTTTTCCTCTCTTATTTTTCTTTCTACGTATTATCATATATTATAAGCATTTATCTAGTTGCAAATTTTATTTTTATTTTTATTAATGGCATCATTAATGGTTCCGGAATAAATCATAAAATATTATGTAAATTTATATCTTAAATTATGAATATTAATTTATGTAAATCATAATGCGGCAAGGATACAGAATTAACGTTCGCATGGTTTGTTCGTAGGTCGAGTCGAACAGGCAGATGTATCGTTCAACGATGGAACAGGTCGCTCATTTCTTGGGCCGGGCTCACAGGAGCCTCGAGATCCTGCACACCAAGGAGAACCCCAAGGATAAGAGACGCGTTCCTCGTAGTCGCAGCGTGCACACGGTGGTCCATGCGGATCCCTCGCCAAATCGTGGGACCGCGACCCCGTCATCGCCCGCGTCATCGACGTCCTCGCCGTTCGCTCGCGCCAAATCGGTAACCCAGATCGGATCGCCGAGCGCCACCTGCTTCCGCGAGTTTACCTGGTCGGTTCTGCGAAGAAACGACCCGGTGCACTGCATATCGCCACGTGCCAAGCCGACGGATCTCAATAAGACGAACGACGTTCCTCCCGACAACGTCGTGTATCGCGAGCCCAAGCAGACGGAATTGAACCCGGACGAGATACCGCCGGAGAAGCTGTCTCAAGAGGCGTTTAGGTGCGTGCAATTTCAAGAAAATCCTATTGTTTGCGAATTATTATTAATTTGTGACCGACACTATCTCTGTCACTATTAATGCTAGTAGGAAAAATGTAATTAAATTTGGGAAATGTTTCTGACAGGTTATTGAGGACAGTCGAGTCCTTGCTGTCGATGCGAGAACCCGACTTGGCGAGGATGACGCCGGTCGACGAAAACGGATCTTCTCCTTCCCCTACGGTGGATCATCACCATCATCATCATCATCATCATCATCATCACGACATGTCTCTCTCCCTGCCAAGTGGTAACTTCGCCAATTCGACGACTTTGCAAGAGGCCACCGCCTATTCTGGATGTTCCGGCAGTAGTCGTGAAAACGAATCGAGCAGTGGTCAGCAGAGCGACAGTAGATCGCCAAGCCTCGTCAAGACATCCGTCACCGAGTTCAGCCGAAATCTGCAGAGCTTCGTGCCGAGCATCAGAAGGTCGCCCGACACTGCCTCCTGGAACTCGAGTATTAGCAAAACGACCGAAGAGGAGGACACCGTCGCGCTTGCCGCCTCGTCGAACGGAGCCACGTCCAACAGCACGCCGACCTCGACGCTCAACGTTGCGAAGCGATTGAAAAAGAAGGAATCTGCAGGATTAGCCGGCAAACCTAAAGTGAAGCCAGCCAGTCCGGTGAGCAGCGCCGAGGGCGAGAGCGGATTTTTCTCGATTAGTTCCTTCCAGGAGGTGGGCCTGCCCGCTTCGACGGCCCTGCCGATCACGCCTGTTAAGGGTTGTCATACCGAGGTAGGCTTGCCGGAAGTGCCCCTAGACAAGACCAGGCATCGACGATGGTCCTCCACGCCGGCGGAGATCCAGGCGCTCTTCAAACAGCACCGGGCGAGCTTCGGCGGCACGCCGCAAACCACCACCGAGTCCGTCAGCGTCTGTTGGGTCTGAGTGTTGCGGAAGCCACGTCGATTATGATCCCACCGCAAACCGATCGTTATTGGCTTCGCGCACAGCCGATTTTCAGGAACGACATTTAGGTAGATCGCTAGGGAAATCCAGTAATCTTGTAAATAACTTCTTGCGCAGCCGCTTTTGTTACGTTAATCAAGTATGTAGAACCGTAGTACTACTACTGACCGGTAGTAATCGCGATTCCTAATTTTTTTTTATCGTTCGGACGAGATGACTCGAGTGTGACACATCGTTTCGGCGATACTGGTGCATGCAGTTGAAAGTTCTTACGGGAAAATTGTCCATTGAAATGTATTAACGGACAGTAAGGAAGAGCGCATAAAGAAAATAAGGAATTGATACACGTCCGCGTAACTGGGCAAGTTTCGTAGATAATGCGGCCATTCTGTAAGTATAGAAAAGAAGAATAGTGTTGTCCCGACATTTTTTGCAATTATCAGCCATACGTCTCGTAGTTTCGCGAATTTCGTGGATATACATATCGATAAAACTTTCATCCGTCCCGTCATATGGGATGGATTATCAATGACCTCATCAATATTCTGATCCGTTCGCTGGAAAATTTACGAGCTTCTTTGAAAAATCAACGTATTAAGTATATTTTGCAATTGACAATCGTACATATTTTGATTAATTAAGTGTTATTTAATAAATTAAATATCTTTGAATCCGAATTAATTCGATTTAATTTAAACATAATTTAAAAGCAAGTTTAATAATTTATGACAATATGTCGCGATATAATTTAAGTTAGTATAATTCGATTTATTAGATGATGACGATTTAGTTTCGGAAAAACGCGAAAGAAAAAGCTTTCTACTTTCTTCTTTAATCGATGAATTGAAATCTACTGTAAATCTTTTGCATCTTTTGCACAATCTATGTCTTGTCCTGTATATTTTTATTATTTCATGATTCTCATACATGTTAGTAGCGGTACAAAACATTTTCAACCTGAATCTATTTGTGTATTACTTGGAACTGATCGTTCGCACAATTATTTCCTTTAACATCGTTAGATTGTTCATAACACGACGTTCAATTTTAAAGACTCTGAAAGATAAAATTGTAAATCTTATAACTATTCATCGTATGCTCTAATTATAATGAGGACGACATATCTCTTAACATAATGAAACGGCGTGATCTGAGACTATTGTAGTCGTAGAATGTACAATATTGCGTTGTCTGTATTCCTCATCATGCATAATTGTCATTTGTCATTCGTAATTATATAATACAGCTAAATATCATACCAAAATATCTTAATTTTTATTTCCTTTCCTGTCTTATTTTATTTCTTGTGTTTTTCCGTAAACCTCTTTTACCACATTTATACTTTTACTTTTACCATGAAAAGTACATATATGAAATGTACGAGTCTGGCTCTTAATGAAAATTGTTGAAAAAAAAATTCGTTAAAAAAAATACATACGTAAAAATGCGAAATAATATATAAATGATTATAGAATTTTAGTTTTTGCTTCTTCGTATATATAATATAAAAAAATTATCTCTTAAATTATATTCTGAAAGTATACAAATTTAATAATTTTTTTCTAGAGTTATCAATTTTAAATTTTCAAATATGCTTTCTAAAAAATTTATAATTATGTATATATATATTTTTTTTAATAGCAAAAATAAATTCGATCTATGACAAACGTGTTCATATCTTCGTCTTTTTATATTTCTACTCTAATTTAATTTTTGCCATTAAAAAGTGCATATGTGTATGTCACGCGTGTGCGCATGTCATATACATGTATGTGAATGTTTACACATGTTTATTGAGTTCAATTTTGTTAAAAACAACTGTACAGATCAGTCATCCTTGCAGATTCTTATGCGGCTTTTTTAAAAATAAAATATTCGAACGTATATATTATTTTTATATATATCACTTTTATATATTATTTAAATATATTTTATATATCTTTGCGTGATAAAGGGGACGGTATAGCCATCTAGGAGGAGAACAGAAAGTTTCTATCAGCAACCAGATACGCATGGATGTATCTGACTTCATTTATCATTCGATAGGAGTCTCAATTATCTTATCTACGACTCCATAGATCTAACGACGAGTTAATGTGCAAAGTGTATGTTTCACATTTATGACAGTGATAACTTTTACGCTGAGATAGGCCAAGTTTATAAAACTTTCCAAACGTTCTATGGATCTATATCTAAGCATATATGGCTTTAACACAGTTAAAGGGGTTAGATTCATCTAGATGATAATTTGAGTCAACAGCTAAATCGGTTTGATATTCAAACAGTTTCTCATCATTGACTCAGTATAATGTTCATTTAAAAAAGAATAAAGAAGAAATAGTAACATTTTTCTTTGAAACTATTTTAATTAAAGTTTTTAATTAATTAAAATGTTAATTAATGTTATTCTATCTCCAAGTTAATTCGAACATTTTTTTAATTAAAAAACTTCTAACTATATTCTATATTAATACAACATTGTAAATTTTAATCTCAGCGAATATCTCCACGGATTTTGTTGCTCCGGATTTGAAAATTATTCCCAGCTATCGCAAATCGAAAATCGATCGTCTAATTACCCATAGCATGATAAAGCTGTTTGAAAAAACAACTTAAATTAGACATTAGAATAATTTGACCCAAAAAACATGAGGATATTCATTTATGACATATTAACATTGTGCGCATGACAATATGTTCGAGTCAATTGTCCGAGTCAAGACGTTTCAGGAGTTTCGCGCACTGTTTTAGAATCGTCGATCGAAATTTAAAACGAACGACTTCAGAATTCGTGAACGTGGAGACCGCGTTCTGTTGGCAAAAGTTGGCTAATAGCAGCACACATCTCGGAACTACGCAATGCGTACAAAAGCCTCCCCGTAACCCCGGTGTCACGTCGCTATCATCCTTCTTACGGAATCTTCTCGGCGATCCGATAACACGGCCTAATCGTCTCCGATATCACAGGCAGCGATTGTTATATGAACATTTATCGTGACATCGAGCGGACGATGTCGAAGGGAATTCGGCGCGATGCGATCGACGTCGAGGATTCCGGTGAGCGACGCAACGCGACGCGACGCGACGCGATGCGCGACGCCACGATGCGGAGCCGCTAGTGCGGGGTCGCGGCGAGAAGAGTGGGTGCGCGGTTGCGCGCGCAAGCCTTGATAACGCTGAGGCAGGCAAGGCACGAGAACGCGGGTGCTCGTTATCAGTGCGCCAAGCGTCGGCAGGCTTAAAACGGCATTTGGTCCGACAGTCGGCCAGGAGATCGCGCCACGAGGCGAGCCACTTTTAGATTGATTTTCAAGAGCACCGCCAGCACGGGGCCAGCGCTCCGCGTTTATTTTAACGCGTCCAGAGACAGAAAGTGAAAAAGAGAGCGAGCGAGAAAGAGAGAGAGAAAGAAAGAGAGAGAGAGAGAGAGAGCGGATATAGGGAACGGGTCCGCGCGCTCGGCCGTACAGGCGTTTCAGGCTGATTGAGATAGTGCGAGGGAGCGACGTGACGACGTGGTGAGAGGTTCGGCAAGCGCGAAGCGCCTCTCCTCTGCGGCACCCAAGACCGGTCTCCGACACGATACCGTCGTGTTTTTCGATCGTGCCCGGATCGTCCCGTCGCGCAACGAGGCGCACGCAATACGCGTACGAGAAGCACGCGGCAACTAGCGGGCGCGTGTAGTGGCCGTCGCGAGGAAAATAACCGTGGAGAACAACCGCGCGCGCGTATCCCCGGTTCGGTTTTCCTCTCTCTTTCTCTCTCTCCGGCCGTGTGTCATCGTCTCCAACGTCGTCGTCGTCGTCGTCGTCAACGCGCTCGTTCTTTCGCGTCCGTCCGCCTGGCCTTTCCGCTCAGCTTCGCTCCGCTCCGCTCCGCTCCGCTCCGCTTCGCGTCGCGTCGCGCCGCGCCGCCCCGCGACACCGCTCCGTTCCGTCCCGTGCCTTCTCTCTAATCTATCTATACTACTCGTGCGCGGTGTGTGCCATCGAGTGTGTCTCCGCGTGTGCGCTGCGGTAGGCCCGAGGTGTGCGCTTGTAGGCTTCGTGGCGCAGTGCGTGAAATGAGTGACAAGGACCGCTCCTCTCCCACCCTCGTCGAAAACAGTCTCAAGTCACTGCTCGACCAGCCCAGCATATTCCCGCTGATCGGTAAGTGTTATTCGCCCGGCTACAAACAGCCGCGAATATTCGATCCGCCTAACACGTCACACGCGCGATCGTACGGCGCTGACACGCGAGACGAAAGCCGGCAGCGAGCTCGACGTTCTCCGCGCGCTCGAGGCGAGCTCCCGGCGCCGCTCTTCTCCTCGCTCTTTTCCTCTGTCCTCGATCGTTTCGACGACGTTTCGCCTCTCGACGGGCCAGCGTCGTTCACCAGCGCGTTACCTCGCGGTCCCGAGGAAGCGCACGCGTGACCGCACGCTTTCGTCCGAGAGATTTTCATTCTCGTTCTCGAAGAGTACTCCGTTTCTCTTCCCCGGTTGCGCAGCGCGTGATTTTTCCGTGGCCCGTGCTCGCATCCGGTAAATCTGCACGCGCTGATCGTCGCTTCGTGGAGAAACCGCAAAGGAATAGGAATAGGGGAAAAAAATGAAAATAATTCCCGCTCCGAAATTCGTGCAAACACGCGGCTACCACAGCGCGGACTGGCGGCGATCACGCGAGCGCATTATGCGTAGCACGCCCGTTCGAGAGAATTTGAATTCGCTCGACTCTCGCGATTCGCATTTGAATTTTCGAGTCCGACAGCGCGCTCGCTCGCACGTCGCCCGTGCGCGCAGCGTGCCATAGGAACTCGCGCTTTTTCCTATTATCGGACCGCACGACTGCCAAGGAGGGCCAAAGTGCAAAGGGCGAGAACGCGAAACGGGCGGACGGAGGGAGAAGGAGAGGAAGAGAGAGGGAGAGTGGAGCAGACGGAGGGATAGAGAGGGAGTGGAGTCATGAAGGACAACGAGCGTGTGTTCGTGCGATCGTCGTTATTGCGCCGACGCTGTTGGCCTGCCGATTAACCTCGTTTAAGACCCCGTGGCGCACCACGTGATGCTGCCAGCCTTACCTCGCCCCGAAGCAGACCCAACCTATATGCTCGATTCCGCTCCGTTCTCGGCGGAGCGAGCGTGAGGCGACTAATCTTACACGACGTGGCCGAGAGAAGACCGAGGAACGTTGGAAGCCACACGATAGCATGTACTGGCACAGTCCTATAAGACTAGACGCAAAAAAGTCGAGATAACTGAATTAAAAGTGATCGATGGAGTTCATTCGCAAATTTATAAGCACCTCGTCTTCGAAATTTGCTTAAAACATTTTTTTAATTTTTTTCTCCTTTTCTTTCTCCCTTCGAATGAGAAGAAATAGTTGATTTCTTGAATTAAAATGAAGATATTTTACGATAAATTTTTTTCTGTTTCCTTAAATATTTATTTGCACCACAATATTTTGCATTATACTATTTTATATTATTTTATATTACATAAAAATAATTAGAAAGGTTATTTCTTCAGTCACTTATGAAGAAACGCAAGGTGATTATAATATATGAAATTCGAAAGGAATAATTTCTGTTTCTGCAGATGTAGAAATGTAAAATATCGATCATATATAAAATTTCAATCAAGTTTTTTTTAAATCTTATCTTCTTCGGATTAATTTAATTAATTTTTTAATTTTCAATTAGAACTCTAAGGAAAAAAAAGTTAGATTACGCTAAGATTATTCGATAATACAAAATCAATCCAGCTTGTTATTTTAATCACGACTATCACAGCCTTTTTTTAAATTTCTTTTCTTATTCCATAATCGTCGTAATAAATATCTTCTTATGTAAAACAAAACGCCAATTAGTACGTCGATAAAAAATTTTTAATGCGAAAGATAGATTATAGAAGTCCGAAGTATAGAAACATTTTGTGGAACTACAAAGCAACATTGCGCAGTCAATTACTCTTAATCCATCTGTTTTTTTTTTTTTTTCGGCTAATTAGGGTTCGCGTTTTCCAGGAAACCGTAAGTTGTAATCGGGTGATGTAATTTTTGCAATACGCAACTCGTTTCGTTACGAACGATGCGCGAAACTAGTTGCATAGCCAAATGGGAAGTGACTTGTTATGTTGATTCAGGAAACTGTCCCCAATTTACTACCTCGCTGAATCGGATTATTAGTGCAATGCAGATTAAATAATTAGTACGAAACGTCGATGCGTGCGTACGAGGCGTACGAGGGAGATACGTCAATCACTTGAAGTTTTTTGCTCTGGTCGCATGATATATTGCACTTTTTCAGCAGTTAGATAACAAAATCGAATCGCTTTCTCGATTGCGCAAAATGTGATTACCTGAAGTGGAATCTCGAATCTCGATCCGGAGATAAAAATGAACGAAAAAAAAGAAAAAGAAAAAAAAAATTACGTCGCCCCGATTTACTTTTTCTTCCAATTAATCTCGGATCCCATTGATCGATCCGTTAATTTAAACTTTCATCCATTATATCCTTTCCGCATTATTTCTCGCGATACGCGAAAACTTTTCGGCGGCGAAACCGCCGCTAGAATAATTCGGCCTCGGAATTCAATTCGCACTCTCTTCGCCGCCGTGCATTCAAGTTTCGGGAGAAAAATGCGTCCTCGTCGCCGAGATATCTTCTCGCGATAAAAGATACTATGTGGCTGCAAACACGCATGATATATCACGACGGCGGAGCGTCGCTTCGCGTTACTTTTTGATACCGTGTCGCGCAGCGTCGCAAGAATAAATCCTTTCATCCACGCACGCGGCCGTAGCCGCGGCCGTAGCGGCGCGATTCTATTTATTTTCGGTATTACGACATCGAGGCATTAGGTTCTTCTACAGCGACTTGTATTGTGACAGTGACTGTCGGCGGCACATGAAAATGCAATGTATTTTTTTTTTTTTTTT